CCACCTCCCCCCAAGTCGAATATGATCCATCCACCACCACCCTCTGAGTGCGACCCTTCAGCCAATCTGCAATCCATCTGACCGTGTAGGCATCTATGCCACAGTCGCCTAGTTTATTAATTAGGATTAATTAATTAGTCAATCTGTAGTTAAACTTGCAACCGAGTTTCCAGTATAAGCCCAGTCTCCATTATATATCTTCTTTGCCTATACTATAAATGTGAACTCAATATAAAGTCATACCTGTGTGCATTCACCGTTATGTGAATTTCCACTGTAGGAGGTTTAATTCTGAAGTGCTTTAGGCATATTGACTCATAATAGAGACAATATCTTTTAATAAACCAACAAGATTTTTGCAAAAAAATGCCTTTAATTGCAAGTTTTCAGGCACAAACGCCCTTCATCAGGCATTGGAGAAAGATTGTATAAGTTCTCCTGGGTAGAAATGAAAGTTCATATTTTATAGGATTTCACAGAGGAGTCAATAGATGGAAAAACTCCTCTGGGCAGTCAGTTCATAGCTGGTATGGAGCCTCTCACCTCCTGTGAGGATCTCTGATGATGCAAATTACCTTGAAACAGGCAGGGGCAGGATCTCGGGTTTCAGGTGGTCACAGTTGCTTCCTGCTTGGGAAAATATGAAAATTTCATTTAAAAAAATCAGCTAAAATTCAATATCTTCCATGTGTCAGGGATCCAGGTTGTAGCCATATTAGACTAGACCAAGACAGCTACAACCTGGATACCTTAGGCATACTGATACATGCCTAAACCTATGGAGGGTGTTAACTAAACTTTTATATGGGACTGTTTCTTATTGATCAATGTCTAATGTTTATATTGCCAGCTAAGTACAACAGTATTGGACCGGCAGCTATTCCAAATCTATTTATTTGATAATGGTGCTTTTTTAGGATCTGCCTAATAGCCATGTGAGTGAAAACTGACTAAACCAATATTTGTTGATGATCTTAAGCACTAATGTCTTCCTCTGTTGCTTAGTGAAAAATGTAATTTTGGGGTTGCTTTGTTTATGGACTGGGTTATCAGCTCTTCTATTCATGAGTGTGTGTCTTTGATTTATTCAAGGTAGTGTCCCATCTCTAGCTGCTGGCCTTCTCTTTGGGGGGTTAGCTGGGCTGGGTGCTTACCAGCAGTCCAAGGACCCAAAGAATGTGTGGCTTTCCCTGAGTAAGTACACTTAAAAATGTCTATTAAATGGACCTGACACATGCATATTCAATGTTTATCATAAACTTGATAATATTCATTACTGACTTGTTTCACACAGCTGGCCTACAGGGTTTTGCTTTATTTATGGATCTCAGCAAGGCTGCTCGCCAGTTCTGCTTCCAAAGGAAGTGTTCCCATAAAAACGGCACCTAATTCTAAAAACCGTGTTAATGTGGATAACTGTTATTCACTCCTGGACTTCCAAAGGGGCTGTATTTGGTTAAAAAATCAGTGTCTTGTGCATTACACATATCTGCTCCAACGTAGATCTCATGTCAGCTGGAGACAGGGATGCAGAAGAATATATGTGGCTGTGAAAAATGCATCACTATTACATGATGATGGAATAAATATTCACTCCCTCATGATAAGGATTAATATTATTTATGGGGCCTGATAGTGCAAGAGGCTGAGAGCCCTTGTCTGCCAGACTAGAAGTAACTGGCACCATGCAAAATCAGGACCACTTATCAGTATGAGCCCAAACTGGGCACAATTCACATGCATCCAACTTTGTGAGCCCCTCCATGGCTTGATAGGCAGC